CGTTGGTGTTTTATCTTACTCTTTCCAGCATATATGTGTGTGTGTGTGTGTGTGTGTGTGTGTGTGTGTGTGTTCACGTACAGGTAGAGGTCAGAGGTCAAGCTCAGATGTCTTTCATCGTGAGCAGTTCACCTTGATTTTTGAGACAGGTTCTCTCACTGACTTGAGGGCTCACTGGTTCAGCTAGGCTGGCTAGTCTGTGAGTGCCAGGGAGCCACCTGTTTCTGCCTCCCCAGTTCAGGGATTACAAGCGCATGCCACCACACCAAGGTTTGTTTGTTTAATGAGGGTTCTGAGGCTGAAACTCACACCCTCAAGCTTATCCAGCAAACCCTTAACCCTTAATTGAGCTGTCTCTCAGCCTCCCCACCACAGTTTTTAATGTGCTAAAATCTACATATGCACCTTCCCATTGAAGTGCATGTTTCAGTGGTGCTAAGTTCAGGCACACTGTTGTGCAATCACCACCATCCAGCTCCAGTGAGTTTTTCATGTTCCCAAATCAAAGCCCTCTAATGACAATATACTGGGTTGTGCCATCACATAGCCCTGGAAAACACTATTCTACTTTATGTGTGTATAAATTTGATTACTTCAGGCACTTCTTAACAAGAGAATCATACACCACTTACCCATTTATGATTGATATGGTTTTCTTACAGTGTCTCCCAGAATCATCCATGTTGTACTGTGTCTCATAATGTCCTTCCCCTTTTAAAGGATGACTGATATTCTATTATGTGTAGTATCATATTCTGTTACTTTATCCATATATCCATGGACATTGGGTTGCCTTTAGAGTTTTGGCTATTGTACATGCTGTTGCTATGAACATGGGTGTACAAAATCTCTTCGTGGCCTTGCTTTCAACGATTTGGGTATAAACTCAGAAGCAAAGTTACTGGATTATATGGTAATTCCATTTCTATTTTTTCAGTAAGAGAATGCAAATCAGATAAGGAAAAGAAATGAAAGGAATTGACCTATTGCTTGTTCCCAGCAGCTACGCTGTTTTATATTCCCAACGATGATGCTCAAGCCTTCTATCTCGTGTGTTACACAAAATTCATTTGTAACACGTGATAGGCTTGCTTTTGAAAGGTAAAATAGCTAAGTAGCTGGTCATGTAGCCTTTCAATCTGTGGCTGTGCTTATCACCTTGAGACGCTGTTTTAATGGTGGAGTTCTTGGTATCTGGTGATGGCTTCAGGATGTGAGGCAGGATTCAAAGGATTGAACCCTTCCTCTAAATCTTCTAATTCCTTGCACAATTATCTCATATATTACCTTGGATCTAAGTGCCTTTAAATAGAAATGCATGCTCCAAATACCTCTGTCTGCATTACTCCCTAAGGACTCTCCTCAGACAAATTGTTTTTCTTTTAATTTACCTGCTTAAATCCAAGCTGATGATTCTTGCTCTATTGAGTTATAGTACCAAGAGCTATTAATGGTATATGTTTCAATTAGGGGCTTATTGCACTCATTCGTGCACGCGCGCGCGCACGCACACGCACACGCACACACACACACACACACACAGAAGAATGGGTGTTAACGAAGGACACTCACTGCTATCATCATAGCATATATATCTATTCTATGTGTCCCAAACTTTCTGTGATTATTTTATGTTGTGTTGTTGTTTGTTTGTAGAATTTCATGAAGTACAAAGTGTCCTTGGCCTCCTCTTGCAGCTGAGGAAGTCCTGATCCTCCTGCCTCCACCTCCCATGTGCTGGTACTACAGTGTGAGCCCCAAATCCCCGCACTCCCAGTCATTAGTGTTATAACTATTAACTACAATGTTGAGAATCCCTCACGTTGAAGAATGGCTTGCTCTGTCTGCCATGATCAGCTGCAGCTGCGCACCAGTGACAAGGGGCAGGTCCCATATTACCGAGTCTCTCTAGGTAGTGCTATGGGTGACATCAAGCTGTATAGAAATGCTTCCTGGCAGCAGTACCATGTAAGAAGATGTCCCAGGAGAAGAGCAGGGACACTCACGATCTCAGTTACCAAAGAATGTCCGGGGGAGGGGGGAGGAGGGGAGAGAGCACTCTGAGATCCTGTGGAATCACAGCTCTATCTGAATTTTATCTAGTCTAGAACATGCAAACAAAAGAATAAATATACAAGTCTCTCCTAAGACTTTGTGTGGGCCTCAGAAATACTGAGGTCAACTCAAGGGATTAGTCAAAATCACAGGGGAAAAAAAGGTTTCACAATAAAAGACACACCACCAGCAACAAAGTTGAGACTCTGCAAGTCATTTGTTGTCATAGGCAGAGTCATAGTGACCTGTCCCCTGAACTTTCACCTAGCCGATACCCTGTTCTAAAAGATATCTGTACCCTCCTGAACACTCATGCTCCAGTGTCATCCCCTTCCCCACGTCCTGCCTTTTTGTGTTTATAACCCCTGTGTGAATAAGTAAAAATTACGATTTGATTTAAAAATAAATTTAAAAAAAAGAGAGAAACTATCCACCCTCTGCCTCACAGAAACAATAGCTTTGGACTTTCAAACATAGGTGCTGATAGCCTAGACACTTCAGAATCACCATCCTTACCTAATGTGGTTTTTTGTCTTAGCAAATGGTTTCAACAAAACATCTCTAGTTGGTAGTTGATCCAGAAGAGACCTTGGTTTCAGAGGTGATGTGGCAGAGCTTCAAGTTTCTAACAATCAAATTAAATGTGTAAGTGAGTAAAAAAGATACATGGGGACAGGCATGATGGTACACACCTATAATGCCAGCATTCAGGAGGCCAAGACAAGAGGATTACAGTTCTGTGCTAGCCTGGTCTACATAGCAAGATCCTATCTCAAAAAAGATGAAGGGAAAAAAAGTTGAGATATCAAATGTAACAATCTGCTATTTCTGTATATATCTCGATGTAGTGATATATCATTGTTTTTACCAAATAAATATTAGCTACTTTGTGACTTAATATTTATTTATTTATTTAGAGTCACTGAGTCAGAGTCTTGCTATGTGGCCCAGGTTTGAATTTTCTGGTAATTCTGTTCTACACTCAAGGCATTCACAGAATTGATGTCACCTCTATTATTCACATTAGGAAAATGACTGTTTTGCGGCCAGCTGCCATACTTCACTTTGGTACCACTGCCTTCTCAGTCCAATTCCAGCCAAACTCTTCACTGGTCATTTTCATTCCCTGAACACTCAAGCTCTCCTTCCCTGGTAAGCAATGTTCCTTGGCTAACCAATGGTCACCATAAAACCCAAGTCTCTATGCACATTTGAGAGCCCTTTGCCCAGCCCTCTCTGGGGATGTGACACTTGAACCAACTCAGAGCTACTCTCTGCATGTCATTTTTCTTGAGAGTCTCCTCTGCCTAGACTGTTTACCTCAACTCAAGTTTTTTTTTTAAAGACATGCCATTCCTTTTAATCCTCAGCCAAATAGCATCTCCTTTAATGTTTCTCTCATTTCTCAGTGGTCTTAGCGCTTAGTTCACTTGGGGTAAAAATGACTAGACAGTGTAACAGAAGTGTCATCTGAGGGAATACAGACACCTTGGATCCTGTCTGGTATGGCATCCCCTCAAGCAGGCTTGTATGACCTCCCTGCAGGAAGCAAAGGGAAAGAAGAGATGAAATGCACAGTACCTGAGGCCATCGGACAGAAAGCAGAAGGAAGAACACAATGGTTCCAGACTGGCCAGGGTTTAGATGTTACAAGAGAGATTTGGGGCAAAAGACCATGGAGCTATTTTCACAAGAGAATAACTAGACAGCATAAAGTCACAGAGACTTTAGATCTGTCTCCTTAGAGCTGAGTGTGATGCAGACAGAGAGTCACCATTGATGACAGTGCTGCCTGCTCATCTCTCATGCCCCAGCATCCCTTGCTCCACAGAGCCCATGGTACCCAACTAAATCACAGGCAGTCACGGGGAGAGACTTCACTTGTGAGAGCATGTGAATCCTCAGAATCCTGCAGAATCCTTGGATGTATCTGAAGGACATTATTGATGTTGAAGACCCTGCTGTAAGCAAGCCGTGACAAAAGCCTATAAAATCTGAATTACTACTATTGATTTCATTTCATAGGAGCACAGGTAGGGCTGGAAAAAACTCGAGATACAGTGACATTCGCTTCTGATTTGAAGTGGTTTAAAACCTATTTATAAGTTGGCTACTGAGATGTGAGCGAGCTGTCTTCGTAGGCTCAACTACTGTGAATGGGAGCTGCTGCGACTACCAAGAACCCCACCGTGAAAACTGAAATAAACAAGCTCCTATGTCTAAGCACCCGAGTTGAATCACATGATGTGGGTATTATCGTCCTCAGAATATACCCCATAGCAATAAATTTAAGCCAAGTGTTTGTGGTAAGAGAGTTGAGGACAGCAGTTCTCAACCTGTGGGTCTTGACCCCTTTTGGTGTCAAATGACCCTTTCACAGGGGTAGCATATCAGATATTTACATTATGATTCATAACAGCAGCAAAATTACAGTTATGAAGTAGCAACAAAATAATTTTATGGTTGGAGGGGACTGTATTAAAGGGTCAAAGCATTAGGAAGGTCGAGAACCACCAGTTTAGGACTGATGGGTAAGCCTAAATTTTGGTTCTTTCTCTTCTGCACAGTGCTAGTGGATCCTGGATAAATCCTAACCTCTCTGAGCACCAGTTCCTCATTTGTAGGACAGAAATAATTCCTTCCGTGTAGGACGCCAGGAAACTCTGTGATGGTGAATAAATTCTGAACAGTCATGAGGAATTAGCCTGGCTTGCATCTTTTCACCACTGCATTCATCCTCAGCAATAAATCAGTCAGTGTTACACATGTCTCAAAAGACTAAAAACAATGAGAGGAGTGGCCCTGCCCTATTCATCTCTCTGTCAGCCTGTCTCACTTAGACAGGGTTCTCAGAACAGTGTTGTGGAGTTCCACGGGGCAGCGAGCTTACTGCCAGCCTGCTTGGGAGCATCCCAAGTGCAGAATTGGCTTGGACCACACACCAGTCCAGAGAGCCTAAGACTGTTTATTAAGTCAACCAAATAAATACACAACAATGGTAGATAAAATAGGTCAAATCAAGTGTTTCAGGAACATCATACGTGGCTACAATGGGCAGAACGTTAATCAGAAGAGACAGAAGCTGGAAAAATGGTCCCTGTACAGGATCAGAAAGAAATCATTTTAGACTTTGTAGATCACGTGGTGTTCCAGTTTTCTTTCTGTTGCTGTGTTAAAAAAAAAAAAAAACATTCTGACCAAAAGCAACCTGGGGACAAAGAGTTTGTTTGCCTGATCCATCCAGGGCATGAGCCAGCATTGAGAGAAGTCAGGGAGAGGCTTGAAGCAGAAACCATGGAGGAACACCACTTACTACACAGCCCAGGCCTGCCTGCAAGAAAGGCACTGTCCACACTGGGCTGGGCTGTCCTATATCAGCTAGCAATCAATAAAATCTCTCTTAGACATGCCTCCAGCTCAGTCTGACTTAGGCAATTCCTCGATTGAGGTTGACTCTTCCCAGGTGACTCTAAGTTATGTAAAGTTGACAATAAAAACGAGCCAGCACACATGGTCTCCTTAGCAACCTCCCTCTGTGGTCATTTCCTCACAAAGGCAGCCAAGCACAGAATGTAAGGAAAAGAGAATGACCGTATTCCAGTAAATTGTATTTAAAGCACGGGTGTAAGGCTGTACCAGACCCTTGGGGTGTGGTTAGCCAATTCCTGAGATAAAGGCTTGTCTCACTGCCAAATAGAACTTACTACAAAGCTGAAAGTAAAGCCAGGTGGGGGCATAGAATAGGAAAGTTGCAACCACTGAGCACAAGAGAATCCCTCCACGGGATGCCGACACTAAAACAAACAAGGGTGCGACCAGAGAGAAGTCTCCTGGAAAGTATATTTTATGGTGGATCAAAGTTAGTAGGTAAAGTGCAGACTGGATAGGCTTGAGGACCCAAGTTCAAATCCCTAGTACTCACATAAGAGCAGAGTATGGTAGCACATGTCTGTACTCCAACTCTGGGTTGGCATGAGTGTTGGGAGGTTGGGGAGCACAAGACCAGCACATCCTGGTGGTTCACTGGCTGTCTAGCTCAAAACAGGTGAGCTCCAGGTTCTGTGAGAGATCCTTCCTCAAAAGTAAAATAAAATAAAATAAAATAAAATAAAATAAAATAAAATAAAATAAAATGGCAGGGTACTGATTGAGGAAGCCATCCCAGTGTCTACCTCTGCCTCGACATATATCTACCCACTCATGTCAATACACACACACACACACACACACACACAGAGAGAGAGAGAGAGAGAGACAGAGACAGAGACAGAGACAGAGACAGAGAGACAGAGACAGAGATAGAGACAGAGACAGACAGAGAACCAAAAGTTAAAGAGTTTGGGGGGTTCAGTTGCCTAATAACTGACTGTTGCACCAATAGTGAGATATAAAGTCAATCAGATGTGCTTGCTGTTCGTGCCATTTATGAAAGAGAGCATTGGGAATGGGCGAGGCAATACTGCTGTGGGGGTGGACATATTTGAGTCACTATCTCTTTAGTCTACCACAATGCCTGACAAGCAAGGGATGTTTCAGGGTCGTACTTTCCCAGGCTGCACTCTGGTTAGAAAAACCCTGTCTCCTTGAAAAAGATCTGTCCTGGGTTCGATGGAAAAGAAATAACAGCCGAGGTAAAGAAGAGAAGGGGGAGGCTGGGAGAGAGACCAGGTGGGAAGTAGCACAGTGTATCCCATGAGTCTCCAGCCAGGCATCAATTCAAGTTCAAGATTCTTCTAGGCATGCCATTACACAGGCAGGTAGATCTCAGTGAGCACTAGGTTATCCTGGTTTACCCTGTGAATTCTGGGCCAGCCATGGCTACATAGTAAAATACTGTCTTTTTTTTTTTTTAAGGTGGGGGATGGATGCTGGAGAGATGGCTCATCAGTTAAGAGCACTGGCTGTTCTTCCAGAGGGCTCAAGTACCTTTCCCAGCAACCACGTGGCAGCTCACGACCACCTGTAACTTTAGTTCCAAGAGATATCATGCTCTTTTCTGACCTTAGTGGACTCTGCATGCATGTGGTACACAGACATACATGCAGGCAAATTACCAATACACAAAATAAAAATAAATTTTTTTAAAAGCCTCTAAAAATGGGGGTGGGGTTGAGGGGAGCCATCATATTTATTTCTGAAGAGCCCTTTAATTTCGTTCTTTTCTTCATCGTTACCTGGGAGAGAAGAAGTTAATGTGTTGGTTGCTTGAGAAAACATTTGGAATGTTTAAAATGAGGCTTTGGAGGGAGTTGGATGAAAGAAGCAGCAGGTCTGTGGTGGCAGTTCTCACAGCCTCAGATAATCTGCTTGCAGAGGAGCAAAGGAACTAATTATCTTTGGAGAGGACTGTGTGCCTGATAAAATAATTAAAAATAAATGGCTCTCCTTAGAAATGCAAATTACCAAGTACTGAAGAAACCCTGGTGGTCACATAGACAATAAATAGATGTGTTATCTGAGGTCCTTTATTTGATTGATTTTCAATTCTGGCTACAGCCAGGCCTGCACAGTGGAAACAGCTCTTAAAAGCCTTAAACCATCACACCTCGCCCTGGGGACTTTCTAGGGTGAGATTAGGAAACTCAGGACTCAGACTTGACCCTCTGCTTCCCTTGAACCTACACTCCAGTACCACTAGATAGGGGGCATTACTGCACAGCCCTCTCCCAAGTTCCACTGATGCTCCTTCCTCCTACCCAGTGCTTTCAAAGAAAGCACCGGCCAAGTACTACGGTGGTAGGCTGGTGTGGTGTGTGTGTGTGTATGTGTGTGTGTAGGAGATAGGAGGCCTTGGGGACTGAGCAGAACACTGTTTTATGGGTAGGAGAATGTTCTTAAGTAATGACTTACTATCTCTTAAACTAAGCATACCAATGTCTTCCACTCCTCCCTCCTCTCACCCTACCTCCTCTTCCTCTTCTTCATCTCCCTCCTCCTCTTCTTCCTCTTCTTCCTCCTTTTTCCAAGACAGAGTTTCTCTGTGTAGTCCTGGTTTTTCTGGAACTCACTCTGTAGACCAGGCTGGCCTTGAGCTCAGAGATTTACCCACTTCTACCTCCAAAGTGCTGGGATTAAAGACATGTACAGCACTGACCAGTACCAATGCGTGCTTCTAATCCCAGCCCTTGGAGGCTGGCCTTGGTAGGGGAAAGAAGGCTGTAAATTGAAGGACAGTCCAGACTATACAGAGCAGGGCTTTAAACAGTGAGATCAAGTTCAAGTCTGGCCTGGGGCTACATCGCAAGGCCTTTTCTCAACAGAACAAAAACAGAAACAAACAAACAAAAAAGAAACAAAAAACACACCCAAATCATAAAAGCAGAAAGCCAAATAAAACTTCAAAAAGACTGCAACGCGTTACCCTTTTGTCAAAGTACCAATATTGATTAGACAACTCCTCTTGGGCTTTTCAGCAGGCATTTGTAAAGGAGAAAGGAAAAAAATTGGATTTCTGTCTAGAAAAAGTTACAGACTGACAGGGGGAGTCCAATTCCAGGCAAGCCAGTCCACGCTCTCAATTCCTCTAACTTTGCAGACATCAGGTTTCTCCTACGTTTCTTATCTAGAGAAAAATGATTTCCCTTGTGACTGGGCCAAGGTGATGTATCCAAGGGAATAGATGATGTTGGAGAGGAATGAGAGAGGAAGGAAGGCTCGCCAGCTGGTGTTCTTCTCTTTCCAGATGAAGGCTGGACCTTCAGAAGGTGACTGTGTAAGCAGGGGCAATGATGCTATCTGCTGCTGAAGGATGGAAAAAAAAAAGATGGGTGCTACACAAAGAAACACTTAGCAAGATCTGGTTAACAACATGTGCCAGTGGCACGTTCCTTCTGGTCCCTAGGTAACTTGGCCAATATCTGAAGCAGAAGTCATTCACCCTGGTCAGTCCAACCCAATCCCTCCACACTCCTTTCTCCATCACAGGTGCTTGGACTTCAGTAGCCTTCACCCTCCTCTGCTGCGTCCTTCTGAAGTGATGTCCTTCTCATGCCCACCCAGAGAGCCTTTTCTTTCTTTGCACTGAGACTCAGCTGTGACAACTTCCTGGCCTTCCAGTACAAGCAGAGGAAGGACGTGAACAGAAGGAGAAGCATGATGAAGGGGCAGACGATGAGAAAGTGGAGTAAGATTCCCGAGGAGCAGATCCGGGAAGAGAACGTGGGCTCTGCAACCAGAGAAACACAGAGGATAATCAGTGCCCTAGTGATCAGGGCCGAGTTGGCACAAACACGTCCCTACCCATTATTATCGGCAAGTCCATGCAGATAACAGGGTGGATGGCACAGGCCTTTCATCCTGTGACAGCACTGGGAGAACAGGCCTAGGACATTCCCAAGACACACCTCTCCCCCTGCCCGGCCATTGCAGCTGTAGAGCTGTCAATGACCTACTTACAACCAGCAGCCAAAAAGAAAAGCAAAACAAAAAAGGAAAACCTTTCCTTTAATCTTCTTCCCTCAGAAAAGATATGTATAATTCAGCCCTCGTTCTCAACTGTGTGACTGGCCCTGAATTTTTAACTGAGCTATTCTCACTGCTGTTTCTGAAACTCACAGAGCACTACGCTGTCCTCAGTAGCAGCTGTACCTATGGAGGAGGGTGCTTCTTCACCCCCTGACCTGTAACACATAGGTTATCTCAGGTAGGCCCTGGCTCCTTGCCCTACCATGCTCAACTCTCACTTCCTGTATCCAAGTCACTGAGCACAGCCTCTGTCTGGTTGGATCTCACTTCTCCCAGACTTATTACATTGTCCCATGCTTACCCCTCCTTGTCACACAGCCCTTTTTTTCAGCCTTTTTCTTTCCTGGATTGAGCATGTCTAAGTGTCCTGGGTTCCTGCATTTGCTGATCTTAAACCAAACCGAATGCTGCCACAGAGTCAAAGACACCGTACAGAGGCATGCCAAAGGCATGGGATCCTCTAGCAGCTGCAGTCTGCTGGGAGGCAGCACCAGCAGACCAGCATGTGGGGCACTGGGGCTCTTGGCCACTTCCCAGGGAAGCAGAGAGGACCACAGACACCACAAGTCTTGGGAAACGATGCCCTGAGCTAATGCCTAAAGGCCTGGGTTACAGGCATTCAGCAGAAAGCCACATGTGTAAAGTGCTACCAACTACTCACTGTATTCTTCCAACTACATTTATGATATATGTGGAATCAGGGGGTATTCTGAACAATCTGATGCTAACAGCAGCTGTGCTTTGCTTGGGAAACCGTAACGACAGGAGACCTCTCTTCTTCAAAGGTTAAGCTGTACAATTTCTGAGATTATGGATTCCCAGGGATAAAACAGGTTTAATAGGTCATTCTGACCAACCTCCAAGTGCCAAAAAAATCCCACTGGGGCCTCACTGATGCACTTTATGTCAAAGGTTGCCTCTTCACTGGAAATCGAGAGAGAGCCCAGACATTTGCTCGAGGTGGGTACTGTGAGCTCCTAGAGGGTTGGGCCTATGTCTTACATGTCTCTGTATCTGGTAAAGCACTTCCCTTGGAAGGCCTCCAGGATCCTGGAGAAGGAATCAACTACTGAGTGTATTCCCCATGCTAGAGCCAGGGTGGCTGCCATCATTTAGCGTGACAGCCCCTGGTGAACATTAGGCTGTCAGTACTGAGTGGCTTTGGCACAGAGCTGCAGAGTTGGTGGCCTAGATTTTTTTTTTTCTGTTCTCAAGTGTAGTCTTCACCTTGCATCTGATTTTCCTTCTTGAAAACATGATCAATGGCAGAGAGATTTTGAATGGTTTTTTTTTGTTTGTTTGTTTTGATCTGAAGTTGAGTCTCACTATGTAGCCTGAACTAACCTCGAACACATGATCTTTCTGCCTCAGCTTCCCAAAGGCTGGGATTAGAGGCATGTGCCACCATGCTTGGTTTACTTTTTTAATTCTTTTCTAACCTCCTTCTGCATTCTTCTCCCAAATGATCCAACTGAATGCTGCTTAGTTTCCCGAGCGTGATGATGCTTGCAAGCATGGTCAAAGGAAGCAGGGACGGCAACGCTGTGTTAGAATAGGCCAGGCTGCTCAACCATGGCTACAGAAAGAAACTTCTTTTTATAGCAATGGCCACTGTCAGGAAATGACAAGCTCCCTACAGAGAGCCCATCTATGAGAGTGTAAACAGTCTCCTCAGGTGTCCAGACTCCCAGAGAATGACAGACAGCCACAATTTTTCACTTCCCCAAGGAAGTTTACAAACCTCAGGGCTGGACTCCCTGGGATATCCAAAGGGTGCCAGTGTTGACATATGCCTCCGCCCATATAATGGGTAGATGGTCAACTAGCCAGGTCCTTCTTTCTCACGTTCCCACATCCTCAGAGCTGCGTATCCCTTTCCTGGAATCCCCTTCTCCTCTCCACTCTGCAGCAGCTGAATCAGAGACAGCCGGGCTACAAGCTCACCATGTGAACCTCCAAGAGGACAACTCCTAACTCTGCCTGTGGGCTTGAATGTTCATTAGGGCTCCTGTCATGCTGCTCTCTGTGCTTGGCATTAAGAGCCCTTGTAATAAACTTCTTACCCGAAATGATAATCTATCTGCCTTAGTGTCTCTCTTGACCCCAGACCCAAGACTTTTCACTGGGAAGGGATGGAGCCATGGAGTCCCTATGAAAACACTGGCCATGTGTGTTCCTACATCAGAGTGAATGAGTACCACCTGTACTTCAGAGAGAGCTTGGTTCAGCTCTTCACTCCTCAACTCTTATTGGGGAAGTTAATCATCTCCTCCAATCCTCTGTTTCCTTATCAACTGAGCAGGAATAATAATGTATGGAGATGCAATGAGATAATATGTAATATAACATTTAAC